CTCTTCTGGATGTTATCCAATCTGGTTTGGAGAACCATGATTCCGGCGTCGGTATCTATGCGCCCGACGCCGAGGCGTATACAGTCTTCGCTGAAATCTTCGATCCAATCATCGATGATTATCACGGCGGCTTTAAGAAGACGGACAAACATCCGCCCAAGGACTTTGGCGACGTCGATTCCTTCGGCAATCTCGACCCCACTGTGAGTTTTTTCTTCGACATATATTATTTAAATTATATATTATATAAAAACTATAAAAAAATCAAAAATATATAAATTATATATATTTTTAATAACCTTTTGGCTTTTTTTTCTTATAGGGTGAATATATCGTGTCAACTCGCGTGCGATGCGGCCGCTCTTTGGAAGGATATCCATTCAATCCGTGCCTGACTGAGGCCCAGTATAAGGAGATGGAAGACAAAGTATCTAGCACGTTGTCTGGTCTGACCGGCGAACTGAAGGGCACTTTTTACCCGCTCACTGGTATGAGCAAGGAAGTGCAACAGAAACTGATCGACGATCATTTCCTCTTCAAGGAGGGCGACCGTTTCCTCCAGGCGGCGAACGCTTGCCGTTTCTGGCCCACCGGACGCGGCATCTTTCACAACGACGACAAGACCTTCTTGGTCTGGTGCAACGAGGAGGACCATCTCCGCATCATTTCGATGCAGATGGGCGGTGATCTCGGACAGGTATGAAACTATTTAGAAACGATAATCTAAATTAGATAAAGATGATACATTTTTGTCCTTTTTTCATAATATATGAATACTTTAATATATTTCACTTGTAATTGTCATAATTATTGACCAATTAACATAATCAATTAATAAGTTCATGTATTTAAAAGTGTCTACTGTTAATATCATATAATCGTTACTCTTTGTTAAGAAGGCAAAGATCCATGTCATTGTCAAATTCAATTTAGCAATATTATAATGCAATTTACTATTCCAAAACTCGAAAATATTTTGTATCCACTGAAGGTATACCGGCGCTTGGTGACGGCGGTGAACGAGATCGAGAAGCGAGTACCGTTCTCGCACAACGATCGCTTCGGCTTCCTGACCTTCTGCCCGACGAACTTGGGTACGACGGTGCGCGCTTCGGTGCACATTAAGGTGCCGAAACTCGCAGCGAACAAGGCCAAGCTTGAGGAGGTCGCGGCCAAGTACAATCTACAAGTGCGCGGCACCCGAGGTGAGCACACCGAGGCTGAGGGCGGCATCTACGATATCTCCAACAAGCGCCGCCTCGGCCTTACCGAGTATCAGGCTGTGAAGGAGATGAACGACGGCATCGCCGAGCTCATCAAGCTCGAGGCCAGCCTCTAAACCTACCCGCCCCTCGATATTCTTTTACACTCCTCCATCGTAGCCCCGTCAGACGCCACGCTATATTACGTGACGTCACGCTGAAATTTGTATCTGTGACATAAGAATTTTATTCCGCGAATGAATCACGAGAGAGAACGATTTGGAGAATCATTTGTGACGATAATTTAATGCCATTGCGACCTTCAGCCATTTCTGTATTTTATATATATTAATATTATAATCTCAATGCACTTTAATATCATAGTATTAATATATAAGAGCGAAGCAGCTCCATACGGCTGTTAGATAATCGTCTTAAATTGATTCTTATAAATTTGTTCTCGTTATTTATTCTCAGAAGGAAATTCTCATGTTGT